TGACTGTGAGGTTTGCCCGAGGGGCTGTATATGAGTGATGTTTTGCCCGAGGGGCTGTTTATGATTTCATCATTTTTGCTCACCTTTGCATTGAGCCTTTGTTTGAAAAACTGTTGGAAAAACGTCTTTAAATGATTTCTACTAGAACTGGGTTTAAACTAGATAATTTGATTCAAATCCTGATTTTTTAAAAGCATGTGGTATTTTACTGAGATTTTCTGATATGAACGTTATATGCTTTATTACTCGTCACTACTGCTCAGTCTTTATTTATTGTTGTTACTTACTGAGTTGGCATACTCACGTTACTCCCTGCACCTTGTGCGCAGATTCAGGTGTAGCTGGACAAGGTATCGGTTATTGAGTGTTCTGGTTACAGATTTTCTTGGAGATAGCAAGGTAGCTGTTTGGCGATCGTAGCCCATGCTCTTCTCCCTCTTATCTTCCTCTAGTTGTATTTAGCTATTTTCCTGGCTGAGTTAGCCTTGATATTATTAGACAGATTGTAGAAGATGCTCATGACTAGTGATACCCCGATGTCAGGCTTTTCTTTTCTGCACTTCTGTTTTTCTTTAATTAGAACTCTTTAAATGGAGGTTTTATGTTAAATAACCTTGAAATTATCTTTGAACTGAAAATATCGGTTTGTTTTTGGAAATTAGTCGGCTTGTCTAGCTCCATGATAGGCGCCATCACGACAGAGGTTAGTTTGGGTCGTGACAATCAAGCCCTTCAAATAAATGTCATTCACATATAATTCTTCCAGATAACTCTCTTTCAAATATAATTTTCTCAAATAATTATTTTTCAAATATAATTCTTTCAATAAATCTTTTCAAATATAATTTCCTCAAATAAATATCTTTCAAATAAAATTCTTTCATATAATACTTTCTAAGTAAAAATTCTTCCAAATAAATATTTTGAATATAATTCTTTCAATTAAAAAGTCACTATGTGACACCTCATTTCATAATCATAAAAATACGGGTCTCAGCCCATTTTCATATTTTTCGTAAATACGGGTCTCAGCCTATTTTCATATTTTCACGGCACCTCGTGCCCATAATTAAATCATCATATTTACCTGGCACCTCGTGCCCTCATTTCATATCACAATTGCACGAACAATTCACGTGCCAAATATTCTCATTATTTACTCACGGCACCTCGTGCCCACATTTTATTTTTTTAATAATCTGCCTGGCAATAGCCACATGCTCTCAATTTCAATATAAATCAGATTGTTATCAATTTACCAACAACAAGACAAGTTGCACAAGCTATAGAAATAAACACAAAAAAATCACAACATCACATAAAAATTATCAACATCACAACCCCACATCATCACATATCGTCCCTGACAATAGCCACCCTTATCGCTCCTATTGCCACCCTTATCACTCCTTTAGCCACCCTTATCGCTCCGCCCAGACAATATCAGTAGCCACCCTTATCGCTCCTATTGTCACTCCTATCACTCCTATAGCCACCCTTATTGCTCCGCCCAGACAATAATCTAACAAACACAACAACAATGAAATGTCACCCTTATAACCACATAATATCAACGGTGAAATGCCACCCTTATCTCCCCAAAATAACAACTCACATAACACAATAATTTACATGGAAAATTATCACAACAACATAACAAAAATTAATTCATATCACAATTTGCCCAATGGCCACAACAAAATTTCAAAGCTACAACCAAGTCAATTAATTTCACAACAAATAGCCAAAAGCTCTACACAATATGTACAACACCCAAAAACAATGAATAGAGATAGAAATTACTCAACATAAAGCAAAATTTTCATAAAAATTAAATTTTTAATAATTATATAAACACCTCTTCTTAAGCTCATTTAATTAATTATTTGCAGAGGGGAAAATCCAAAATGTAATTAAATTCCAATAATTATCAGACCAGCAAATTCATGAAATTTCATAAATAATCAAACAACAATTACATCACATTGTCATATAACAATAAAGTCAACAACAAGGATTTAGGCACGACAAGTAGATGAATAAATATATGCCAACAATTATCCAATTTACTACACAATATGCTCAAGACTCTAACTCAATAAAATTTGCACATATAAACCAAGTACGTACTCGTCACCTCACGTACATGGTTTTCAATTATACAAATTGCACATAAGACTCAATGCCTAAGGGAAAATTACCCCACTCGAGGTTAAGCAAGACACTTACCTCGACTTGCTCCAATTTAAATCAAGTAGTATGTCTTTTTCTCGATTTTTCCAACTCCGATCGACTCGAATCTAATCATAATTAATTCGATATAGTCAACAAAAATTATAGAATCAATTTCATAAGAAAATACTATATTTTTCAATAAAAATCCGAATTTAACTCAAAAATTTGCCTGTGGGGCCCACGTCTCGGAATCCAGTGAAAGTTATGAAATACGAACACCCATTCACTCACGAGTTCAACCATACTAAAATCATCAAATTCCGATATCATTTCGTCCCTCAAATTGTGATTTTTCATTTTGAAAGTTTTCTTCAAAACTAACATTTTCCTCAACTCAAAACACAAATTAAATGATAAAAATGAAGATAAAAATAGTGGAATATATTAAATACTAAGTGAAGAACACTTACCCAATTGAATTGCTTGAAAAAACCACCAAGAATCGCTCAAAACCGAGCTCTATAAGTCAAAATGTAATAAAAATTGCCTAACCCTCGATTTGAAAATCTTATATTCTGCCCAGGTGATTGTGCATCGCGAACGCAGAGAAAGGATCGCGTTCGCCAAGAAGAAAAATGAACTGCCCAGTTGTGCTTTGCGAACGCGGAGAGGAAAAATCTAATGGCCCACGAATGACTTACGTGAACGCGAGCAAAGGGCCGCGAACGCGAAGAATAAGAGCAGGAAACCTTCGCGAACGCGAAAAAGAAACATGAGGCTGCCATGAAGAGCTTCGCGAACGCGAGTGTCTAATCGCGAACGCGGTGGAGGAAAAGACAAATCTTCGCGAACGCGATGGGTTTAATGCGAACGCAAAGAAGAAGTATAAAGTGTTCAGCAGTAACACTTCGCGAACGCGAGGTGATCTTCGCGAACGCGAAGAAGAACACCAGAAAACAGAAACAGCAGTTCAAAAATAAATGGAAATGGCCTGTAGCCCATCCGAAACACACCCGAGGCCCTCGGGACCCCGTCTAAACATACCAACAAGTTCCACAACCTAACACGGACTCGCTCGAGGTCTCAAATCACATCAAATAACACCGAAAATACAAATCGCACCACGAATCGGACTTACGAACTTCCAAAACTTCCAACTTTTAAAACTCGTGCCGAAACCTATCAAAGAAACCCGGAATGACGTTAAATTTTGGAGGCACGTCTCAAATGACATAGCGGAGCTGTTCCAACTCTCGGAATCACATTTCAACCCCGTTGTCAAAAGGTCAACCCCGGTCAAACTTCCCAAAAATTCAACTTTCGGCATTTCAAGCTTAATTCCACTACGGATCTCCAAATAATTTTTCGGACACGCTCCTAAGTGCAAAATCACCATACGGAGCTATTGACATCATCAAAATTCTATTCCGGAGTCGTTTGCTTAGAAGTCAACTCACTTTAGTAAGTCAAACTCGATCACACCCGCGGGTCATAATACATATTGCGAAGCTGCTCGAGACCTTAAATCACTAAACGAGGCGTAAATTCTTAAAACGACAAGTCGGGTCATTACAGTACTGCACTAAATTGATAATAGTTCTTGTCATTCTAATTCCCTTATTTCTATGATAGTTTTCACTATGTCGAATTTGTCAAAGCTTGAATTTATGATACTTGACATCTCTAGGAATAACTATTTGCCATGGGTACTTGATGCTGAAATTCACCTTGACGCTAAAGGTCTTGGTGACACTATTAAAGAAGGAAATGAAGCATCAAGTCAGGATAAGGCGAAAGCCATGATTTTCCTTCGCCATCATCTCGATGAAGGGTTAAAAAGTAAATATTTAACCTTGAAAGATCCATTTCAATTATGGACTAGTTTGAAGGAACGATATGACTACCTAAAGGCCACGGTATTGCCAAGAGCTCGTCGTGAGTGGATGCATTTACGACTACAAGATTATAAGACCATAAGTGAATATAATTCTGCTGTATATAGAATAATTTCCCAACTAAAATTATGTGGGGAACCTATGAATGATGAGGACATGCTGGAAATGACTCTTTCCACTTTTCATGCATCAAATATGGTGTTATAGCAGCAATACCGTGAAAAGGGCTTTAAGAAATATTATGAGTTAATTTCATGCCTTTTGGTGGATGAACAACATAATGCCCTTTTAATGAAAAATCATGAAACCCGCCCCACTGGATCAACTCCATTTCCAGAAGCGAATCTGGGAACGATAGATCCAAAGTCTGAAAAAAGACAAAATAATTATCGTGGCCGTATAAATATACGTGGGCGTGGCCAGGGGCAAAATAATAATCGCCATGGTAGTGGTCGTTATAAACAAGAGAACAATAAGGGTTCTCAGAATAATCCTTCGAAAGGCAAAGGTAATATTTTCCACCAATGTGGTATGAAAAATCATTGGGCACAAATTTGTCGTACATCTGAACATTTTGTCAAACTTTATCAAGCATCTATAAAAAGGAAATAAAATAAAGTTGAGACTCACTTGACTTTTCAAAATGATGTTGAGGCGGGCCCTATGAATAATCATGATAAAGTTGAAGCAAACCTTGCCTAAGATGATAATTTTGAAGGCCTTGAAGATATTACTCATTTAGAAGCTGGAGACTTCTTTGAGAATCATAACTGAAGATTTATTATTGGGAAAAATTATAAGAATAAATGCATTTCTTTTTATGAAGTTCATATTTTGAATAAAACTTTTTATGTTGTCAGTATTTAATTTCATAAATGTAGTTTCTTTTGTTCTTAAATTTTTCAATATTACTTATGATATATTTTTTTTCTTCTTGAAGAATATGAAAACTTCCCAGTCTTCAGTTGTCCGTACAAATAATAAAGAAGAAATATGTCTTCTGGATAGTGCTACGACGCACACCATATTAAAAGATAAGAGATATTTCTCTTATTTAATTATGAAAGAATCCAATATCATAACAATATCTGGTAGTACAAAATTAATTGAGGGATCTGGAAGAGCGACTGTATTACTACTAGGAGGAACTATATTGGTTGTTAATGATGTATTATATTATAGTAGGTCTCAAAGAAACTTGTTCAGTTTAAAAGGTATTCGCCAAAATGGCTACCATATTGAGACCACCAATGAAAGAAAGGTTGAATACCTTTATATTACTACAATAAAAGCGGAAAAGAGGTATGTGCTTGAAAAGCTTCCCGCATTTTCCTCCGGATTATACTACACTAATATTAGTTTATTTGAATCACATGCCATAGTAAACAAGGAGTTTACTAATCATTTTATTATTTGGCATGACCGGTTGGGCCATCCCGGTTATAATATGATGTGCAAAATAATTGAAAATTCACATGGTCATTCATTGAAGAACCAGAAGATTCTTCAAACTAAAGAATTCTCTTGTGCTGCATGTACTCAAGGAAAACTTATTATTAGACCATCAGTAATTAAAGTTGGAGCTGAATCTCCTGCATTTTTGAAACGTATACAGGGTAATATATGTGGGCCCATACACACTCCATGTGGACCATTCAGATATTATATGGTTTTGATAGATTCATCTACAAGATGGTCACATGTGTGCTTGTTATCAACCTGCAATTTGGCCTTTGCGAGGTTACTAGCTCAATTAATAAGATTAAGAGCACAATTTCTAGATTATGCAATTAAGACACTTCGTCTTGATAATGCTGGTGAATTTACGTCTCAAGCCTTTAATGATTATTGCATATCAACTGGGATAACAATTAAGCATCCAGTTGCTCATGTTCATACTCAAAATGGTCTAGTGGAATCATTGATCAAACGCCTCCAATTAATTGCTAGACCAATGCTTATGAGAACAAAACTTCTCATTTCGGCATGGGGCCATGCTATTTTGCATGCAACAGCTCTTGTGCGGATCAGACCCACAAGTTATCATAAAGTCTCCCCAATACAATTGGCTTTTGGTCAGGAGCCAAATATTTTTCATCTTAGAATATTTGGATGTGCAGTATATGTTCCAATTGCTCTACCACTACGCACAAAGATGGGACCCCAAAGAAGATTGGGGATATATGTTGGGTATGAATCTTCTTCTATTATAAAATATTTGGAACCTATAACTGGAGATTTATTTACGGTAAGATTTGCCGATTGTCATTTTGATGAATCAGTATACCCAATATTAGGGGGAGAAAATAAGCAACTTGTCACGACCCAAAATCCATTTAAGGTCGTGATGGCGCCAGACACCTCTGTCAGACAAGCCAACACTAAATAGTTAATTAAATCCTCTTTTAGTATTTTTGAAATCACAATTTCTTCAATGAAATAATAAAGATAGAACTCATAGAGTAAATGATAAATATTTTTAGCAACTAAATTTCTAAACAATTCATAACCATTCCCAAAACCCGGTGTCACAAGTATTTACTAGGGAATTAAAAATAAAATACAGCATCTGTCCAAAATACAAATTAGACAGGAAAATATAATAACTCTAAAGGAGACTCTGTTAGCTGCAGATCGAAATACAGAATGCAGCTTACCTATGTCCCCACAATTATTAACCAACCTCTGTCCCCACAAGGCCGCTAGATTTATATGTACCTGCACAATAAAGTGTGCAATAAGTGCGGCATGAGTACAAAAATAACGTATTCCCGATAAATATCAAGCCTAATCTCGAAGAGGTAGAGACGATATGGCCGACTTTGACGCTCACTAAGAGTCAATAATAATAAATGAAATAAAGATAGCAATGTCTAGATCAACATGATTTACAGAATTTACAATGATTTTCTTTAACCGGCAGAAATAATTAAATTCCTTCAATTCCAATAAATTTCCAATTTATCAATTAGCCTCATTTACAGGAATAACCATAATTTCCTTAAAAAGAAGAGATAATTAATTCTTTAAATTCCAATAATTTTAAATTTATCAATTAAATTCCATCAGATGCAACAATTCTCAATCTATTAATTAAATTCACAAGCTGCAATTACAATAGCAAAGTATCGTATAATTTTTATTATTAGGCATGATTTCTGCCGAGGTCGTACAACCCGATCCAGAGTGCCGTGTACACTGCCGAGGGACGTGCGGCACGATCCATAGATGCATCTATTCTGCCGAGACATTCGGCCCGCTCCACAAGAAAGGAGGACATTTTCTTATGTACCTCCGGAAGGAGAGTATATTCATAATAAGATAAATTCGAGAGGATAAATAATTTTTTTTAACATTTAATTAATTTAAACAAAAAATTAAGCATGTGAGATTTTCATCTTTTAATATTTTTATGTAACAATTCACTATATATATGTATATATAAATTAAACAAAGAATACAATTTGCATAAGCAATTCATGCTTTGAGTCCTAAACTACCCGGACTTTAGTATTAATAGTATCTACGCACGGACTCTCGTTACCTCATGCATACGTAGCCCCCACAATTAGCCACAATTATTACTTTAATTACCTATGGGGTAATTTTTCCCTCACAAGATTAGACGAGAGACTTACCTCAATTTGCTCTAATTTAATCCACTAGAAGGCATTTTTCACGATTATCCAACTCTATCTCGCTCGAATCTAGCCAAAATAATTTGATACAATCACTAAAAATTATAGGAATCAATTTCATAAGAAAATACTATATTTTTTAATATAAATCCCAAAAATTAATGAAAATTCCGTCCGTGGGGCCCACATCTCGGAATCCGACAAAAGTTACGAAATCCGACAACCCATTCAATAACGAGTCCAACCATACCAGTTTCACTCAAATCCGACTCCAAATCGATACCGAAATCTCAAAAATTCATTTCTATGAGATTTCTAAAAATATTTCCCAAATTTCAATCTCAAAACGCTAATTAAATGGTGAGAACAATGATATATTTGTGTATATACACCACATCTGAGTCAGGATCACTTACCCAAATGTTTTTCCTTGAAAATCTATCAAAAGGCGCCTCTACTCAAGCTCAAGTTCGTCAAAAATGGCAAATAGGACGAAATTTCCTCCTTTATAGATCTGCCCAGGCAGCCTTCGGAACTGGGCCTCGATCGTGGCTTCGATCATGGCCCTCGAGCTTGGGCCTCGATCATGGCCCTCGAGCCTGGGCCTCGATCATGGCCTCGATCATGGCATCGAGCCTCGATTTTGTGACCCTCGATCTTGGGTATCGATCCTGGCACTCGAGCCTTGCCTTCGATCATGGCCCTCGAGCTGGGACTTCGATCATGGCTTCGATCCTGAGACTCGTCTCTGGCTTCGACCCTGGCCGTCGATCATGGGCTCGATATCTGGGCTCGATCTTGGGCTCGATCACAACCCAGAATATCCAGCAGCAGAGAAAACAATTGCAGCAGCTTTTCTAAGTCCAACTTTTGATCCGCTAACCATCCGAAATTCAGCCGAGACCCTCGGGACCTCAACCAAATATACCAACAAGTCCTAAAATATCATACGAACTTATTTGAAACCTCAAACCACATAAAATGACATTAAAACCATGAATTATGCTCCAATTCAAGCTTAATGAAACTTAAAATTTCCAACTGCTACATTCGATGTCGAAACCTATCAAATCAAGTCCGATAGACGTCAAATTTTGCACACAAGTCATAAATAACATAACGGAGCTATGAAAACTTTTGGAACTGGATTCTGACCCCGATATTAAATAGTCAACTCCCCGATCAAACTTCCTAACTTAAATTCCTGTTTTACCCATTTCAAGCCTATTTTAACTACGGACTTCCATATAAAATTCCGAACACTCTCCTAAGTCCAAAATCACCATAGGGAGCTGTTGGAATCGACAAAATTCTATTCCGGGATTGTTTTTCCAAAATATTGACCGAAGTCAAAGTTGGCCTTTTAAAGCCAACTTAAGGAACCAAGTGTTCCGATTTCAACCCAAACACTTCCAAATCCTGAACTAACCATTCCCGCAAGTCATAATTTATTATAAGCACATATAGGGAGTTTTATTTAGGGGAGCGGGGTTCTAAAAGTCAAAATGACCGGTTAGGTCGTTACATTCTCTCCCACTTAAATATATGTTTGTCCTCGAATGCGCTAAGGAGTGTTCCGTAGTTATCCAAAATCACTGTTTAACACCTCGTGCACCTACCCGTGCTACCACACCCAATTGAGCACATTAACTCGAGCCAATATGAAGATTCTCCCCTTTATTCAAGCAAATAAACCTTAGAGCCCAATTCTAACATCCAGAATTCTCCACCATGCCCGTTTCCAACCTATGAACACCGTATCAATCACTACACGATGCACCAATACAGGATTGCATACCTTTGTTGAATTTAGACCATGCACCGCATCATTCACATGACCATAATAACATCCTCCGATAACAATAGCCAA